GCTATTGTATTGTATTATTGTATTGTAAGTTCCAAATCAAACTAAAGAAGAAGAACAAAGTTATCCAATTTCTACAATATGATCTTGAACATATGCTGACTATTTTCAAGATCGCTAGGAACTGCTTTGAAGTCCTAAACTTCACAAGTAAGGAACCAGAGGAACTATGGAATGAAATCAAAGAATTTAAGAATGAATGGAAAAGAGACTGCCAATAGACAGAAGAAAGTAAACTGGAAGTCAGAACAGATGGTGGAAACTGTCCATAAAAGAAGCCAAAGCCAAGAAAGACAATGATCTCAGAAAGAACTTACAGAATTTAAGTGATCCATTAGAATAGTCAAGAAACAATATTGGAATGTAAAGTCATCAAGATGGAAACAGACATAGATAAACAAGGAAAGAATTGTGATCCAAAAGAATTATGATCATTAAAGGAGGTTCCAACAACAAATTTGCATACTAAAGGATGGACAGTCATGAACTGATTCAAATAGGATCAATAATGCATTCTGAAGTAGCTTTTGGAGGTAACACAAAAATTATAATGGATCCTGAATATGTATACTGAAATTACTGGTAAGTCAATCCAGCCAAAGCATGGTAACAACTCTCCTGACATTGCTGTCTTGGTTATCTACTATAAATTACTAATAAAACATGATGCTAACACAACATTAAATTATTTATTTAGATTTTCGTAACTTGTCTTTATTATTTTTACAAATAAGATGGTGAACATACCTAATATTCCTTTTTCCTCCTATTTTCCCCACAACAACAACTTGTGAGGGGAGTTGTGCTGAGAGAGAGTGATTGGCCCAAAGCCACCCAGCTGGCTTTCATTATACCAACCACCATCCTGCCAGAGGTGAACCTACCCATTCATTGAGAACAGTTCTCTGGCAAGCTTGCTATGAGACCATATGTAGAAGACGACCTTAACTCAGAGAAGGGAGATCCATTATCAAAGCAACAAGTAGATACACATGTCTTGATAGGTCTACCTTGTAACTGCCATAAACAAGACAATGAGGCCTTTCTGTGGCAGCTCCCATACTTTGGCATTCTTTACCCCTAACATCCATACAGCTCCCTCACTTCTCTCAGATATTCAAAGAGAGTTTAATTTCATTTGGCCTTCAGCCACTTTTTGATTTATCAACTCCTCAACATGGGGCAGAATTGATTTATTGGTAGCAAATGCACTACTAAAATAGCATTGCTTTTTATAATTTGATTTACTACTATTAATTCTGATCCCATTCAGCAGGAATTTTAGAGAGCTAAATTTTGGTTGGTGGGGTATCTCATTCAGATGTGTTCTAACAAGCTTTCATCAAAGAGAGGCATGTTCTGCTTGACACTTTAAGATCTCCTTTTACATTTAATTGAGGAATATTAAAGACCTAATTTCCATGGCCATATTACAAAGTGGTTACAATTGTTTAGGTTTGAGAATCCTGATAATCTCTTTGTTCATAAGAAAAATGCACATTATACTATACAATGAATGAATAAATAATACAGATAAGCAGGACATCAAGGCCAATGTAATATGATGTATTTTTAAAAGATTCATTTTATTATTTCTATGTCAAAGTATTCTGGCTGAGAATTCAATTGTAGGTTACTTATTCACATCAACTAGGCAACCCTTAGAATTATTTGTCTTTTTTAATAATTACCTCATAGGAAATCAGAGCAGTATGTCATTTAGCTTTGATATAATTTATGGTAAAACATTTTTACATTTCTTTTTAAAATATGCCAGGAAGCTCAGCAGTTTGCAGAGTTAACATAATTATAAGCGATATGAAAATAGAATTCACTAGTTTCTCAGATAAATACATAAGCAGAAATCATATTACCAGCTCACATACGGGTATTAAAGGCTAACTATAATTATTCAGACTTAGGTTATTCATAGGTATGCTCATTTAAATTAATGTGACTACAATTGTTTATACTATAAATATGGTAAGTCTATAATCAGTCCATTCAAATGAAATTGATTAACTTATTTTTATCCATCAAGGATACAAAAAGGTCAGAATTTTTAATGATGAACACAATCTCTATTGAATTAGGGATTAGTTTAGACTTTATAATCTGCTGTAGAGCAATTTTTCTTGATTTAAAAAGATTCATATTTTCATAAATTTTATAAAACTTGAAGACAGCGAATTTGAATGACACATACACAGAAGTCTAAAAAACAAAATTAAAATACAGATTTATTTTAATACAGGGATATATTGGATCTTAGTGTCTAATGGAATGCAACAAACACAGCAATAATGCAATACTTTATTCTTGATAAACAATTACATTTTATGAAAGCTGTCACCTACCAATATTGTCTATTTATGATCTAAGTTGAGAAATGCACTGACATGCCTTTGTGAGTTGTGCGTGGGGGGGGAAGAGAGAGAATTAAATCAATGTGGTAATAAATAGTCTTTATAAGACTGGATTCATGTATTTATTCTACCTAAATGACGGTATCAAAAACAAGGCCCCTTGCTCCATGGTCATTTCCAACCTATAGCATAAAAGGGGAATTTTAACTGTTACAACACCTGTGTTGCAAAATGACCAATACTCCAAGTATTGTTGCTTGACATATATGGTATTTACCATTCACCTTAAAAACAAACAGAAAACTGGCAGGTCTTTCATGAGGAAAAAAGACACCTGGATAGAGTGTAACACAAAATGAAAATGTATTATAATCCTCTATACTGAAGTGGTATTTATTTTCCTCAAACTACTTGTCCAAGTCTATTAAGTTTAAGTTAAAGGGAATGTGTTTTTTGATCCACCAAAAATATTTCTCAGTGGATGCAGGTGTATGTACTACAGAGTAAATTGTAGCAATATTATCAGTAAATTTATTTCTCTGTGATAATCACTTCTTATATGCAGTTATCTGCTTTTTGATTTAGAAAAGGACATTCCATAAAACTCTTCTGGAGTTCTCTAAGTTTCAGAATTGTCTGGCTGGCTGATGTGGAAATCCCAGGAACCTACATAACATAAAGAGCTTGGTAGGATGATGAGGACAAGACTGATGAGGGGAAGAAGGAGCTAGTGTATTCCTCTTCATTTTCTCTTATATTAAAAATATTGACGCAATTCTGGAATGCAAAAAATAATAATAATTCAACTGGAGTTATGATTTAGAATTTATATTGGATTTTTTTTTATTTCTCCACTATGTGGAACAACATACTATCTTTCTTTTGAAGTTTACCTCAAACCTGAGGCCAAAAGGAGGTATGTTGATGGAGTACTCTTTGTTTCAAGCCCTGATTTCTTCTGCCAAGGACAGAGAGGAATTCCACCGGGGATAAAGGAATGGGAGGAGGGAGAGGGGCTATGGGGGAAGTCCACCATCTGTTTTAACAGATGGGTCTGTCACATCAATCTAATTTGAGCCTAAGGGCCAATTCCAGCCTTCTCCAACCTGGTCCCCTGAAGACATGTTGAGAAATGTTCTGTGATATTATGAAAAAAAATCTGTTATGGTATGCCTTTCAAGCATTTGCTCTTAGAAACTGGTATAGTTTTCCAACAGAACAGTGCACTGCAATCTGGAGAGCTAGTCTAAATTTATAGAAGGATGTATGGTAGAAACATTCCTTTATTAACATTACTTAATGGAATAAAGTATGACATTATTATACTGTAACTATTTGTTTATTTTGTTGGAACCATGAGACATTAAAAATGTAATATGAATTTAATTTCATGGTAAATATAATTATTAAGTGATTAAAAATCACTTAATTATGATCGCCCAGCTTTATAACTTGTCCCTAGGCCTTGGGACACTATTCTAAAATAGATCTGGTGCCTAAATAGTGCAGTTTCATCTCACAGTGAAGTTTGTTATGCTGATATATCTTTTAACATAATTCTATTACATCTGAACAAAAAGTCTCATTCAATTTGTTTATTAATTCGGGTTAGTGCTATGAAAAGGAAGCATATTATTGGACAAAAATCGCTATCCGGAAGTCAATACACTTAAAAGATCAGGGGAAAATGTTCACATGATCTAGCGTGTCACAGAGAAAATCAAAGGTATATTGTGTTGGTTCTTTCAACCGACCAACTTCCATAGGGTGCTTATCACAGGGGGACTGTTGAAAAAACACCTTATAGTGTGTGAAACACACTTTTGTGGATTCATTCAAAAAGCTGCTTCCAGCATTGGCCTATTTTCCTTAATTCTGCTAACTTGCCAGCAGAATTAAAGTGGTATGTGAAAGTATTAACCAGGGATTATCTTGTGGATAATACAAAATGCTTTCTTAGCAGGTTGTAAAATCTCACATATGCTAAGAAAAGTCTGGCAGAGATTTCTAGGCTGGCCATCAAACAGCAAAATATTTCACTCATATTAAAATAAAGATATTTTAAAATAGTCAAGAAGAGTTTGAATTACTCTTCATTGAGGATAACTAACGGGGGAAGTAATGCTTTATGCCATTTCTGGGAAAGAGAGTCTTTGGTGTTGTGAGAAGAGCCCATATAACGGACAATTTGGTGAACAGCTTTCACTCTCTATTCTTTCAATCCAGCCTGCATGCAGATCTTTCTATTTCTATGAGAGCTTCTGGAATGTAATTATTCAACTGAAGGGCAAACTGAAGAGCAAAATGATTGAAATGTTCAAAAGATACAAGTCCTGAAAGCTGGGACAAGTAAGGAACTTTAATGGTAGCAAAAATAAGAAGCCTAAGTAATTAANTTCTGCTTCCGGTTCGGACAATCCGGTTCAAACCATTAG